AACATTTGTTTGATGTCTAAAATATTGAAGTGTGACAACAAAAGCAGAAAGAGAAGAATACTGTAGGGAGCAGACATGTGTTCCACAACACTTTAGGCATCACGCAGCTGCAACTTTTTATACACCAGAAAAAAAAAAAAACTGCATAGTTCAAGTACCTGCTCTCCTCGAGCCACAGGCGAAGAATGAAGCTGCATAGACCAGTAGTTCCCTCACAATCTTAGATCTTAAAAGTGTGATAACTTGGAGCCAGTATGGATTGTGCTCAGAAAGATGAGCTCTTGTTTTTATATTCCAGATAGCAGTCAGGGAAATTCTCTTCTGCTAACAGTGACTGCAGATTAAACTCACATGTGTGCGATGGAATGCCTCAGGGATGTGCAGGAATGTTTTGCAGACGCTCACACGAATGCATTTTTACACACAGTTGCAGAATAGACGGATTTGATTATTATAAATGGAGGAAAATTCTACTGCATCAACATGCACGAAAATAAACCCCTCTCCTTGGTGAGCTGGACGTATTTGTATGTAGGACAGTATTTTTAGATGCGTGGCGGAGGTGCTCCCCTTCTCATAGAATGACCTAAACTCCTGTGCAGCTGAATCGAGGAGCGCCCTGCTCTTGCTCGGATAGGTCTTCATTAATAGAGCGAAATGACTTCTCCAAAATCAACCACTCTACAGGGAGGATTTAATGGATCATTCACTCCCAGGAAGCATTCAAACCCTTGGAACTGTGTCCTACCAGCTACCTTGCATTTATTAGTCATAAAAAGAACATCTGGCTTAAATTACACAGCATTCTGTGCATCTTTTCAGGTTCCATGCTATACTCAGCAGTGGCACTCTCACAAATTTGGGCCGACTTTTTAGGTCAATTTTTGCTCCGTTGCCTTCCCCCTGAATGACAGAAAGAGATGCTCCACTACAAATTGGAGAGTGTTTGCTCATGCCATATGAGTGGAACGCATGGGAGAGTTTTAGCTCATTTAATGATGCGGTTTGATGTTAAAAGGTCTGTGTTGGAGGCTGTTAATGTGTGAGGACTGCGGCTGCATGTGGAATTTCCTTTCTTCACATTCTGGAGGAGGCTGAAAGAGGTTGTGGGCTGCTCTCTGACTGCAGCAGCATGGACTTCCAGAGCTCAGACGCTCTCCTCTTCATCCATCATACTGCCAGGAGCTGCCTCTGCAGTTTTACAGACATGTGCTCATGGGTAGTGCATGCAACATGTAGCTCTATAATGAGGACTCTAATGAAATACATGACATGAATTTATTTGCTCCTGTTTTGTGCTGGTATGGGATGCTATGATGTTGTCGCAGAAATAGAAAACCTAATTTAATTTAGTTTAAATTAAGCAGAATATCAGAATTATTCCCCCAACTATAAAGTAATGTTATGTTGATTGGTACATATAAAGTCTTCCTGACTATGTCTCTAAGTGTTTGCCCACCTGTATAAGGGGTATTTCCCCCACTCTTCTCTTTGAATGATCTTGGCCTCAGTCGTCCTACATGTCTATGTCTAAATCAATGGCCATTTTAGTATTTTCTTGATATTTTAGTGTGAATGAATTCCAGACTGTTGGTAGGCCTCCAAAGGACACTTACAGGTCGGTTCAATAGCCACTCCTTTACTACCTTATCTGTGCGTCATGTTCACGTTGCAAGATAGATCATTGCTTTACAGTGAGGTCAAGAGCACTTTGGGGCAGACTTTCTTAAAGAAAACCAGTATTTGATTGCTGTTATTTTACCAACCAGTCATCCAGCAACATAACAATGGATTGATACTCCCTTCACCATGCTTGTCATTAGGTCTGCTTTAGCTAGTTTATGCATGGTCCCTGTCACTACTCAATCCATAGCGGTCGCACCATCTATACCAGCAGATCATTTGTGCACAAACATCCAGCATGTACTTTATAAAAAAGACTGGAATAACTGTTTTCTCTCCCTAAATATGCTAAGCATACTAAACTACACTGTGTAAAAAGTTAATTGTTTATTTTTCCTACACTGCTTCCAGCAGCCAACTTTTTTGCTTTTTTTTTTTTTACATAAATTTGCCTTTTATTGTACTTTTAAGGTATATAGTGCATAATCTATCGAAAGACACAACTAAAATGCAGATACATATGGTGTTATCATATTGCTGTTCTGTTCTGAGCATGTCCGATGATAACATCAGACAATGGAAAGAAGTTAAATCGCATCCAATTCTCCCAGAAAAGTTGTTAAATATGTTTTTAAAGTTGTAGTTTAGCATTCTTTGTAGATTTAAGGATAGAAATATTTACTCTCAGTACCATTACTACATTATATACGATTACATGGATGAGTATCTGTTTGCACATGCACAAATACATTGATGGTACAGATCGTGCTTCCGGTACGGATAGTGCTGAACACTATCAGTGACAGAGTCCTTGTCTTATGTAGTCTGAAAAGTTCTTTTTCGGTTTAGTTAGACCAGGTAACTCTTTCTTCTACATCCTAAAAGTGTTTTTCGGCAGGCTGTTTAACAGTACTATTAAACTGCACTGCATTGGTGTTTAATAGTAGGTGTATTGTGAATAGATGATATGACAGGATTACCCATCCCCACATTCAATGCTCACAAATATATCCTAACTCTGGTCCAGTTTACATACTGTAGTAAAGAGAATTTCTCTTTAAATTAAATTAATGTATTCAGATGGGAATCTAATCATACAGCCAGATTCACAGGCTATTAAATGCAATCAGGGGTTCTATAATACCATCAAATTTTATTGATCATAAGAAACCAACTGGTGAAAAGTTGTCTGAAGAAGCCTTGAGGCTTGCATTAAATCAGTGACTGGGGTGTAAATAACCATCACATGTAAAACGGAGAGCAGGGCTCATAAAACAGAGTTCTCATTAACCAGTTTTTTTTCTTTTTTACTGGAGTTGTTATTGTGGCACAAATCAGAGCTTTGGTGCTGTTTAAACAGTATGACCTGCCTTTCAGCTGTGTTATCTTCACAGTGCTGGGTTTTGCTGTCAGTCTACCGCTGCCTCTCACTGAGGATGATGGGGTTCTGTCTCATACAGGCTGTATTTACCTCAGGACACAGCTCAGTGGCTATTCTAACAGCTAAACCTTAATAAAAAGGAAGCACTTTACACACTTGCCATGGAGGCTCCCTGCAAAAGCAACTTTGACACCCGCTATCTTGCAAGACTACTTACACTTTTGACTCATGAAAGTATTCACTCCCCTTTCATGCTTCTTCTTGCCACAATTTTAATGCCATATGGCTGCACCTTTTATTCCACATTTTTGGTGTTTTCCATTAGTTTGGCTAAATTTTAAAGTTTTAAAAGAGCAAAACTTTCCTATCCAGAGATCACATTTCTTTCCCATGATTTCTTTTAAAACATCTCAGGCTCATTCCTATTGGATGGAGGATGTCTGTGATGTCTGTGCATCACTGTGGAAGCGGTTCTAGCACTGATTTGGATTTAGGTCTGGGCTTTAACTATACCATTCTTATAAACAGACATACTTTGATATCAATCATTTCAATCTAGCACTGGAATTTCCTTTACCTCATTCTCCTTCCCCCTGTGACATTTTTCTGACGTTGCAAATTTTCAAGTAACAGAATGAGTTAGCCTTCTTATTGGCCCTCTAAATGACCTCCTGAATGGAGCTGCCATGAATGAATGAACGGGGGGAGGTGTTTTAAGAGGGTGAGAGACAAGTAGGGGCAGCGGCGGTGGCGAGGTTCTTTGTGCCGCCCTGTATGCGGCGGCAGTGGGCCGTGCCATATCATCCTCCCCCCGATCCTCTCTCAGCAGCATGCAACAGCAG